AATGCCTGTGATTTATATATATCTGCTGTACTGCTTGCTTATTGAACAAAGAAGCATGCTACAACTGAATATACTTCCTTTTAGCTTGTATATGAATAACAAACTGTTCTTCTAATCAAAGCTTTACTACCTGTTGAACCCTACGAAGAAACAGAATACAACTTACAAGATAGCATATTGTACTGAGCATTTGAGCTTATCGACAAGTTACCTGAATTGCAGAACGATGTAAGAGAAAAAACCAATGAATTACAACAAAGACAAAAGAAATACTTTGATACCAAAATCTATTATAAAATATTCAAAATTGGTAACAAAGTATGGATAATTAAAAAGAACATAAAACATTCTTACTTAGCTAAATTTGAAGATAAAAGAACTAAACTCTTTATTATTCAAAAAAAATTGAACAATGATGCCTATAAACTTTGTAATAACAAAGAAAAAACATTACAAAAGTACTATAATAGTAATTGTCTTGCTAAATATTATGGAAAACAAACATAAGAACCTTTTGTTCTTATCGAATAATTGGAATTTCTTAAAGAAAATTTTAAAACTAAAGGAAAAGACAATAATATTATACAAATTTTTTAATATTACAATTTATTTGAAGATTATGATATTTGAAAATTTATATAAACATCCTCAAATTGTACAAATTTTTCTAAAAAATGGAATTCTTAAAATTACAACTAGAAATAGTAATTACATTAAATAATTTTCTTCAAATCTGGAAACAAGACCTCATATCTTAAAATCACTTAAATATATTATCTTAAAATATTATTCTTTGGAGTAATAAAGAACCAGAAAAAGTTATCAACTTAAACCCTATAATTGAAGCTCCTGTATAATTCAATATTAATAAATTTCTACAATTAGAAGAAATACAACCTTCTTCAATCAAAACTTTACTTAATGAAGCACCTTTTGAGTTAGAAAGTAATAATACTAACTATTTAACTCAAATAATAAATAATTTGAAACAGATACTAGTATTAATAACTCAAAGTATAACCAACCCTTTTTCTGAAGGAACATGAAAAAAACAAGTTAATTGAATTTTAAAATTCTTATTCACTCCTGGATGTACTCGACATAACTTTAACAAGAAAATTGAAGCTTACTACTATCTAGAACAAATAATCTCAAAGTCCAACAATTCTTTAAAGATTAAAGATCTTATTCAAAATGCTCAAGTAACAAGAAGAGCAAAGAATACTTGAAAAGATGCTCTCAGAATATACAAAGTACTTGAATTATGACCAAGAAAAATAATCTTATAACTGAAGTATGTGACTGCAACACATATTATCAAGTTGCTGGATGATAAGTATACTTAACTTCTTGAATCAATTAAAATATAGAATTTATAAAGTAAATTTTTAAAAGGAACAGAAATGTTATAGAATAAATTATTATTATTTTATTATTATTAGTTATATAATTATTATTATTATTATTTAGTATGAGTTATTTTATTATTGTATTATTATTATTACTAATAGTTGCTAAAACTTTCTGGTTGATTAGTAATCACTTAGTTACTTAGTCGCTTAGTTGCTTAGTCATTTAGTTACTTAGTTGCTTAGTTGCTTAGTCATTTAGTAATTAGTTACTTAGTAATCATTAGTCATTAGTTGCTAGAATCTTCTGGTCACTTAGTAATCAGATAGTCTCTTAGTTGCTTAGTTATTTAATGCTTAGTTATTTGGCCACTTAGCTGCTTAGCTTACAATTATATAAACTCTGCTAAATTTTCCAAATGTAATTAAACAGCAAACATCATTTTTTCCTTTAATATTGTAAACACATCTTGGAATTCTTTAGAAACAAAAACCTAAAGATAGTTCTTCTTGTTATTACTTTAAAATAAATGGCTTTTGACTATAAACTGTATTGATACTCCTTCTCTAGAGTAATTCTTACAGGCAAGGTTTATCTTCTTTTAGAAAAATAAAATAAAATTATTAGTATTGCATTATCTTTCCTGAACTGCCTCAAAGAAGAATATAGTTTCTTGACAATGTCTAACAAAAGCTATACTTCTCTCTTGAATGCTACATATACCTGCAAAGAATTTCTTGTATTGTGTTGTCATTATAATATAAAATCAAGAAGGCTTTTACCTATAACAATATAATAAATAAACTTCAATATTGAAAAAACTTAACAAAAAAAGACCAGATGTATACACAACAACAAAATACTAATTATACCAAGATAAAGTTAAAGAAATACAGACACACTTGACAGCATGCAAGGGCAAAGAAATTTTTAAAAGAGAATTCAAAAAGTAACCATAATAGTATAAAAAAGACTAAATGAAAAAAAAAAATTTAAATTTCTTTATATATATTATATATAGCTCTTTTCTAGAAAACAGAAATAAAAGAAATAAAAATAAGAGAAGCACTAATTAAATGTCTAATTTTAAAAAAAATACAAAACAGATTAATGCAACTCTTAAACATAAAATTAAGACAGAAGTTTATAAATATAGTAGCAATAATAGTTTAAAATACATTATATAAACAAGTATAAAAAATATAATATGAAAAAATTAATAAATAGAAGAAAAAAATTAGAATAATAAATAAAATAAAAAGAGAAAAAAAAATAAAGAAACCAAGTAAAAGAGAAAGACAAATCAACAAAAAATAGAAAGAAGAAAAGAAAAAATAAAACAAGTTGAGAAAGAAATAATAAAGACAATGTTAAGACTTATTATAAAAAAGAGAAAATTCTTTTATTATAAACTTTAAATAGTTAAATAACTAATTTATTTCTGCTTAAAATAATGAAACAGGTTGCACTTAGTACTATTAAGATAGCTAAGTGATGCTAAATTTAAGTTTTAGAAATATTTATATAGTTACAAATATAATTTTAAAATCTTAATAAAATATTAGTATGACTATTTAAAAAAAAAAAGATAGTGATTCTAGTATAATGATTGAGTTGTTATTCTTTAACTAACAGATTTAAGGTTCAAATTCTATTTATAATAAAATTTAAAAATTATATTTATATTATAATAACTGTCTTCTGTTAATTAGTTAGTCTTACATAATTGTAATCCAGATATACCAAGTTAGATTTTATCTAATATTAGGAGCTTAAAACATTTATGCAAAATATAATATTATATATATATAGAGAAATATTAATAACTAATATTGCATAAAAGGACCTGTAGGTCGATAGTAAAGTGGTTATGCTTTCAGGTCACCAATCACAAGATTGCCGGTTTAAGTTTAATGAGGGATAAAAACTAAGTTAGAATCACAATTGTTAATTAACTACAGCTAACTGCGAACTACGAAAATAGAAAAATCTTCAGTACTCAGATCCTTAAATAGTGACAGACCTGACATAAGAAGGCTGCGATGATTAGGGGGCTAAGGATAATAATAGAACAAAGGAATCTTTGATTAAAAATAGTCCTGATGAAATTCTAAGATAAAAATAGTAACACAAAAATTAGTATATAGATAGTACTATAAATGTATACAAATAATGTAAAATGTAGGTGGGGTCCTGATAGAAGGTCCTGTGAACTTAAAAAATTCAAACTAATAAAACAGCTGCCAGCTGCGGCCTACTAGTGACTATGCAATAGGAAATAAAAAATAAAAAATAAAAAAATAAAAAAATATTGCATAAAACTTTAACATATTCATGGATTTTTGGAATGATGATCATTTTTGATGCACCCTAAAAATTTTAGTTGTATGATCTACAGGGTGCATCAGCTAGTTGACATCCAATAAAATTTGCGAAGCACTGTAATAAATAATCTAATTTTTAACTTCTTGCTCCACTGATAGCAAATATTGCAATAGATTTAGATCACATAAGTTTACTCTTCATTATGCTTTTCTGCAAATCAGTTACCTATAAAGTACATTAATTTGTTTTTTTCTTTTGACAAAAAAGAATTTAAAAGTTAGTGAAGATATTGCTAAGGCTACAACAGAATGGAGTGCTCTAGGTGTAATGGTCCAATTAACTATTCAGAACTGCTTCAGTTGTCAAGTGCTTTTCTTGGTTATTGAAAATATCAAAGAACTAACTAATTAATTGTATTGTATAACTGTAAGCAATACATGGTATGTGTCTGCATGACACATTTATCTTTATTTTTCATAAACCAAAAATGTCAAATAAAGGCAAATTAATCGATGGTTTTAATAATTACTAATCATCTACAATTGGCAGATACATATGAATGACTCAGATGGATCATACAGGCTTAGAAATTGGAATTGAAAAGGTGAAAACAAGGCATTCACATATTATCTAAAATTGGCAGACATGAATGATTTAACAGAATGTTTATTGTTATTATTTAAGCATTAGAGTCAAAATTGATAAGCATAAAGTGCCTGAAGTCTGCTGTAGCAGGTAATTCTATGACCAAGAGACCATAGGAAGGAAAAAGCTTCTGGTAGTATTACGTTCGATAAGGTAATCATTTGCAAAAACACATATATATGATCTTTGGATATAACACTTTGAATAGCATATTTCGAATGCTGCAATTCAACATTATCATATGATTTCGTGAACATGCATGTCCGTGAAGTCATATGATAGTGTTGAATAGCATTCGAACTATACCACTCAAATTGTTAAATTTAGTGTAAAGATGTGATTTTAATTAAAATGATTAGGCGCCAAATTTATCTAGATACTATATAGTGATGATATTTTGAGGATGAAAAATAAATGATGAAAAAAAAACAATAAGCGTGAATAATAATTTGAATTTTTTTTAGTTGTAAATCATATATTCATTATTTTGTATGCATACAATTTTATTCAATAAACAGAAAAAATTTATAAGCAATAATCAAAGCGAAAAGTATATATATTTAATAAAATTTATTTGCTTTTTATATATAAAAAGCTGGCGCAATCACTTTTATAATAGCATTCGCCTAATGCATAGAGCTCATCTTACCAGATTTTTAAATAAAAACAAAAATAAATGATCATTTCGATTCTAGTTTCATTGCTTCAACTTGAAACGTTCCATTGTATTTTCCCAAATTTTGACAACATGAATATGCTTTACACCTATTTCTTTCAATACCGAATCCAAGATAAAAATAAATAAATGTCTTGCATCTATCCTTTTTTACATCAATTATACAGCCTTATGAAATAGCGAAAACCAAGAATCATATTATTTTTTGGAATACACATACTAATGAATAAATATTAGTATCATACCATTTGTCACTCTTTGAAATTTTCTAACATAATTTTCTGCTGCTGAAAGTGCCTTGTTACTGTAACCAATTTCACAATAATCATTTTCAAGCTTAGGTAAAGGTGCCAAGTCGAAAGAAATTGAATTTCTTTCCATTTCCATTATTAAAAAAAATTAAAATTAACGCACAATATTAAATCGGACTAATATGCTTTAGAAATGTAGCAGTACCTGAACTAATAAATCTTCTGCATCCGTTCTGGTTAGATTGAAACTTTTAAATGCAAATATAAGCATTTTGATAGATTAGTTAACTTAGTATCAGTATGCCATATAACTTGAATCTAATATATCTTCATTATACAGGTAGAAGAATCCCAACATAAATTAATGATTAGACAAGAAAATTCCTGCATTATGCATTGTTACTTATATTTTTTTGGTATAAAATTGAACTACAACAAGCTGGCGAAGTGTTATGTTGATTGCAAATTGCATATATTCCATTCCAACGGTTTCTTTTAAAACTAAACTTGTTGACTATAATTTTTATTTAAATGATGTGTTATGTATTATATAATAACAGATACAAAACCCGACAATTAATTACCATATAATATTAATAAGAATTTACTATTAATGAAGAGACAAAAAGACCAAATAAATAAATACTATCTTAATTAGAAATTATGGTAAATATTAAAATATGTATACATATTTGAATTATCTGTAAAGCTCTACTGAAATTTTCTGTTGTTAATATAAGATTTGGATATATTATATTTTAATAAGACATACCGATATCATATCATAATAAAAATTTATTATGTAAGTGTTATCTCATGTTGATCTCAGAATCAGCATGATGCCAGTTTTTTCATATAATTTTCCATTAATGATATCATTGATTTAAGTGAATAATTGAGATACTGAAAATACCTGAACATTTAACTATATATAGCTTTCATCAAAAATCATGATTAATTAAGTTTTAATTGACAATTATTAAGCTAATCTTGATTAAAACCTGATTAATTCTCTTTGCTTACTATATTATTTGATCATAAAAACTTTATCATAATCAAGATACATATTTATAGCAAAAGGTAGTATTGTACTGAGATGAATTTGGGACAAGTTTAAGACTTTTAAAAAAAACATTATTATTATTATATAACTTCTCTGATTAAAAATTAAGAGACAAGGTTGGGATGTCCTGGAACAAAACAAGGCTGAAAAGGCTCAGGACCATCAAAATGTACAATACTGGCAAAAGGCGTACAAATGTTAGTATACTATATATATTGCACGTATATAATTACACAGTGTTTCTTATTTTAAAATTTCAATTACCATGTCTTTTGAATGTAATAAATATCCTGAAAAAAATCCTTTTTCACTTCGACAAAATAATATTAAATATACATATAATATTATCAATAAAGGATATTATCCTCCAAAATATGCTATGCTATACCTCAAATCACAATACTGGTAGTGGTAAAACTCAATATAAAATTTCAGATGGATATTTAGTTGAAACTAGTTGGGGAAGGAAATTACGACATACAATAGAATGTGAAATTGAATATGATTCAGAAGGTCCAGTCTTTATAATTAGATTTAATAAAAATTCTCAACAACATGTTATACAATTGAAAGAGTCTTCATCTAATGTTGCTACTGAGTATTTACGAGTTAGTACAACTTCTTTAATAAAATTTTACATAATTTCATTTTATAAAAATTTGACATTTTTCATATAGAAAAAAGATTCTATTAATCATGCAAGAATTTCTGGCATTTACTTGTTTGGCCTAAATGCTATGAACATTGAACAAGAGCATGAATGTAAAAGAAAAGAGAATAGACATGTTCCCTTAAACCATTTAGTGTACTAAGCGAATCTATGAAAACAAAATGTTTTCGTGCATTTTCTCTGCACATAAATAAAGCCTTTGAAAAGGGATCTCTCAAATTTTATAATTCAAATGATCAACCAATTTTAAAAAAAATTCGATTTAATGTTCAAGACAAGAATTACCTAGTTGATTATTGTAAAGAAAAGGAAGATCAGAATATTAATGTATTTGTATACGTTATTGACCAAAATTTAATTTCCTAAGACACCTACCATGATCTATCTGTACTCGAATCTGATTTACCATGAGAACATAATATTTCAAATGCTAGAAAAAAAATAAATGAAGAAATGAATGAAAAGATTCTGATTTTTATTTTAGACCTCAAAAATATTTCTATCACAACAACTAATGAAATATTGCATATTGATGACGAAGAAATTGAAGAGGAAATGCTAAAATATGTTAGAAAAGCAGGATACAGGAAGATCACAGACATTTTGCTCTTTGTTATTCCAGGTCTTATAAACCAGAACATTCTTAATATAAGCAATCCAGTTATTCACATCCATATTTCAGGTGATGGGCGCAACATTGGCAGGAAGATAAAACATGTAATGATTTCATGTGCTATCTTAGATGACATCTTAAATATTCATAGAGCTGAATTTCACTATATGATAATTTTATATCTTGGCAATGAAAACTACGAAATACTACAAAAAGTAATAGAACCGATGATCAATGAACTACATAATCTAGTAAGTAATGGGTTAGATTTTAGTGGAACATGATGGAAGATCATTCCATATTTCAGTAGCGACTGGAAATTTCTGAGTATAATTTTGGGGTTCAATGCAGCAAATGCGAATTACTTTTGCCTTTGGTGTTTGTATTCGAAGAAGGAAATTGGTATCAAGGACAAGGTATATACGATAGAAAAAACTATAGAACAACTTCAAACTGCAAAACCGCCACCTGGTCATTCCAAAGCGCCTCTTCTTTATATGATTCCCTTAAAACATTATGTACCCGATCTGCTTCATGTAATATTAAGGATTTGGGATCGTATGTAGTCATTAGTAATCTAAGAGCTTAAATCTGAAAATAGATACGATGATTATATTAGAGTAATAATTAGTTCAGAAATGCAAAGAATTTCTGTTAAATTTCATTTTTGGCAAGACCATGATACACAAAATTGGAATAACACTTCCTTAATGGGAGATGACAAAGAACTTGTATTATGTAATTTCAATTTTGAATTAATTTTTTATAAAGAACAGGGCATGCAAATTAATCATCTCAGAAGGGACTTTTATATACTTTATAATAATATGAAACAACAAAATTTTGATCCTGGTCTTTTCTCAATTCAAACAAAAAATTGGCTTAATCTATTCCTTACTTCTTCTCAAGATGCGCCGAATACAAGAGATTTTAAAAAAGGATTATATAGGCCAAAAGACGTTACTCCATATATACACATCTTGGTTAATCATATATCTGAATTTATAGAACATCATGGACATTTTGGTTTTGCAGCATTCTTGTGTGCTGCAGTCGAAAAAAAAAACCACAATCAAGTTTCTGCTTTTTTTAAAAAAACAATGAAAGATGATGGTAATGGTGCAGAACGAAAATCTGCCATTTATGAAATTCTTTGTTATGAGAATCAGTCTATATATTTTACTCAAAATTCTACTTTTAATTTAGTTCCTAGGCATCAACATATTCATATTAAAAACGATTAATAATAAGATAGTAAGGCCAATTGGAGCCTTTATTCGTTTCTAAATATTTTTCATGGCAAAAATGAAAATTCATTTTAAAAGAATATAGATTAAATGCAGAATTTTCTAAAACACTATTTGATTATGCAAGATTTTAAAAGCTCTCAATTTATTCAATCTAGAATCTATAATTTAAAAACACTGAAGGGATGATCCTTGCATAATTGTATAACATTTGTGCATATAACTATAACCAATCATAGATCACTTATAGAAATTAGAGGTTTGTAAATGTAGTTTGCATACATCTAAAACTTTTTTTATACTAAGTTAATCACCTTTTTCACTTAGACGAAAGTTGTAAAGCTTATCGAGATGCATCTAATGATGATTAAATTATCCAAATCGGCCTGGTAGTTGCTAAGATATTGTTAAAAAATGTTACATCGACTATATAAAATTCTATATAAACAATACTATTGTTTATATAGAATTTTATATAGAATTTTATATAGTTAGTGTAACGTTTTTTAACGATATCTCAGCAACCACCAGACCGATTTGGATGATTTAATAATCATTAGATGCGTCTCGATGAGCTCTACAATTTTCGTCTAAGTAAAAAAGGTGATTAACTTAGTATAAAAAAGTTTTAGATATATACAAACTACATTTACAAACTTCTAATTTCTATAAGTGATCTATGATTAGTTATAGTTATATGCACAAATATTACACAATTATACAAGGGTCATCCCTTCAGTATTTTTAAATTATAGATTAGAATAATTGTTAGAATTAAATATAATATTATTGTTATTGTTAAAACTAGATAATAGATTTTAAATATAGCATAATAGTTAGATTCTAAATATAGCAAGGTTGTTAGGTTTTAAATATAGCATAGTAGTTAGATTAAATATATTATAATAGTTAGAACTAAACATAATGCAGTAGTTAGAACTAACATAGCATAATATTTAGATTCTAAACTATAGAAATTAAATTTTATATATAGTATATTTATTAGAATTAGATATATTATGATTGTTAAAGCTAAATATAGCTCAATTTATTAAAGCTAGACATAGTACAGTTGTTAAATTCTAGATTTAACATAGTAATTAGATTCTAAAAATAATATAATAATTAAATTCTAGATATATTATTATAGTTAGATTCAAAATATATATAGTAATTAAATTCTAAACATAGTGCAGTAGTTAGATTTAAAATATATATAGCAATTAGTTTCTAGACATAATGTAATAGTTATCATCTAATAATATATTAATTAACTTCATATTATAAACTATCAGTAAAGCGATGGGTTACATACTAGTGGAGGTTAAAAAGAATGGAGTAGGAATAGTCAAGGATGAAGAAAAAGCATTTAAATGATAATTGAAATCTGCTAAAGGCAATCTTGGAAACTGCTACATAAATAGTATAGACATAGCCAAGGATGAAAAAAGGGCATTTGGGTAATATTGAAGATTAAAAAATGAATTTAAATAATGTTTCTAATTGCTATAATGATAGAATTAGCATTGAAAAGAATTTGTTGAGATGTGGCATGTAAGTAGAACATATATAGTCTTGGCAACGTATTGGTATTAGAATAAATAAGAATCATTATAATAGAGCAAATATTTTCATAGTATGCATATATTTCGTAGTAAGTTTATTTTTTCGAGAATATTTTTTAGCAACATTTCACATATATGATAGATAATGTATTGTGGTAAGTGTATTCTACAGTATTAATCTATAATTTATTTCAATTAATATTCGATTGTTATAGATTTTTTCTATTAAGAAGTTTTATCTTATTTGAAAATTCGAATCAGAAAATTAAATAGACACATTCAGTAAAATGATTAACCTTTTTTTACTGATAAGTGATGATTACATGAATAAGTATATCTGACATACTCTTAAAAACAGAGGATTTATATGTTACTTGTTTTGAATCACTGATCATTAATTCCGAAACTTCCTATTATTTGATCTATATAGATAAATTCTTCAATTAGAACTGTCATCTTATTACGGGTACTCTCAAGCATCTAAATTCATAGGTCGGTGCTCGATGTTTAATTAGTAAAAATTAGCCGATCAACTTAGTTCATTATCGCGATGAAATCATAGTACTTGTGCATGATCTCAATCATTAGCCAATCACATAGATAGAGATACTTGAGAGCACCCTGTTCATAATTGAGATGGATCATTAATAATTAGTAATATAATAGCATCAAAGTTAACCCATCATACAATGTGAGAATATATAAGATGTTTTAGATAAGATTTGGGCAGTCGATCATGTCTTATAGTAATTCAAAGAATTAGAAATTGTATCCGTCTACTCGGGTATTATTAAATTACCTAGTTATCTGGATAATTTATTATAGCATATAATATAAATGTCTACCTGGGTACAATCTCTAGATTGAATAGATAAATATAATATATTCTATATTGATAAATAAATGAATCAATGTATTTATGATACGTATGATAAAAAATAATAATAAATTCTATTTGTAATATGTATTGTATATATATATATTAATTAAGGCTCTTATTTAATTTATGCATATCAATGCATTTTAAGTTTTTGATTGCGATTTTAATAATCGATTCAACATTACATAATTATTCAAGATCTGGATACAAATTTTACATATCCAGCCACCTAGATGTTGTCTCTGTATTCTAGAATAATTTTCATGAATCAGTAACTTTTTCATGTTTAAATTAACTATAAAAAAGAGTTGATACGTATACTAAATTTATTATTTTGACAACTGTTCTATATCACATAAACATGACTAGTAATTCTACCCAAACCTGTTATTTGAATTATATAATTCTGTAATTTGGATTTTGGAATTGGGATTTCTACATAGGTGAAACGGATTAACCCTGGTAAAGTGTTAAACTTCTGTGGAAGGCGAAACTCCTGGTGAAAGGCAAAGCTTCTAGAGAAAGATGAAGCTTCTGGTGAAAGGTAAACAAATCTTAAAAATTTTAAATGTTGAAAATTCTAGAATAAACAAAATAGTGATTAAAATTTCTTATAATATACAATTTTTAGCATAAATAATATTAATAATAAAACATTCGAATTATTAAAGATCTAAATACCTTCTTTTTTTTTTCTAACAATGTTGCTTATCTTAGTTTAGAAATCTGATAATTTTATTTTTCGATCAGGTGTTTATAATAACAATTCAAAAGGCCAAAAACTAAATTTGCCATATATAAAAGCTTAAATACATATACTCAGCCGAAGTTTGATTATTTTTCGCATCTTTTTTTGTTTTCACTTTCCATTCTATAGTTAGTCTTGGTAACCTATTTTTGTATTGTTTACTAAATAAATTGCAATTAGTTTCTTTTTTAGCTTGTGCATTAAACAACAAGACAAATGTCTGCTGATCATTATCAAAAAATTTGTGTCCCCAATTTGAATCATTAAAAATACTAGTTAATTGTGCGTATGCATCTGGCCTTTGAAAAAAACACTTATAACTACCCTTCCTAGAGTTAAAATAATGAATATGACCTTTGAAAACACTAAAAAATAAACTTTCTAAACATGGGAATGAAATAGCTTGTTTGCCTGACTGCTTAAAATGAACTTTAAGCTTGCTTCCAATAATATGAACAAGATCTGCTTTAAACCGAGTAATTGCTTCTAAAGGTAATATATATAGTTCTTTATAACGAATATTGTATTTTTGAACAGCATTTTGATGCCGAGTTAGACCTTTTTTTGTTTTATATATAGTACTACACGTTTTACACTCATGTTGTTGCATAGTAGAAGTACTTAAACTGTTATTAGTTATGCTGTTTTGTCAGCCTATAAAATAATAAAATTTATTAAATAAATTAATTTTTTGTAATCTAATATTTGTAATGCCTTTAGCGATTTCATATTACTTTCTTACTTAAAGTATGTGTGATTGGCTTAAGGGTGGGGCAATTGGTTTAACTATATTGAAATTATTGTTTTATAAAATTTTAATTTTGTTTTTCAAGTTATTTTGAGGTACAAATCAATCAGCTAATATGAAATTTAGGGCATAAAAAAAGGCCCAATTCCAAAAATCTGCAGATATGATATAAATATATAATAAGATCATAAAGTGTAAAAAACTAAAAAACTAAGGTGACAGAAATCTATTTGGAAATTTTCAAATAAAAAGATAGTATAGACTTTTAACAGTATTATCAAACTAGTTAAAGCCTATAAACTATTTTCATAAAAATAAATTAGATAAACTAAATGCTAAATATATATAAAAGAATATATAACTAATTAAAGCATTGGA